GGCCACTTGAGATTCCCAGGGTCAGTCCTCTGGATGTCAGCCCTCTTGTATCTGTGGGTCCACCCTCTTGGGCCCCTCCATAGATCACTTCTCTTTCTCTGGACTCAGAGTCCTCCACAAGTCTTCCTACACAGCCACTTCCTTTTCTGGGCTCACCCAGACCCTCAATAGGCACCTGTACTCTGCCTCACTCACTGTGTTCACCTAGACTCTCCACTAAGTCTCTCAAACACTTGGCTCCTCAGGACTTACCTGGTCCCTCAATAGGCCCACAGACTCTCAGCTCCTCTCCCAGAGTTTGCCTGGCATCTCCCTAGACCTCTGTGCACTCAGTCTCTCTGGGATTATCTGGCCTCTCAACAGGCCCAAGGCACTGCTCCCTTCTCAGGGCTCTGGACCCCACATTGGCTCCCCCAGGAACCTCCTCCATCCCCTTAGTTCCTACCCAAATCTCCAGATGTTACTCTCCTTGCTGGCATTCAGGAGTGGCAGCCTTTCTGCTGGGTGATTTTCTTACACCAGCTCCCAAGATGTTACTGGTAGCCCTGTTCTCAGGGTCTGGGCTTATACCCTGTTTAAACCCAGCCCTCCTCCAATCAGGTGACTCCCTTGATCAAGCCTAGCCTCACTTGCCAGCCCCCTGGGTCAGCTGACTCTGTAGTTAGCCCTTACCCCCACCTGCAGGCTGCTTGACCTCTTAAAGTGGCAGGCACATTAAGTGCCCTGCCACACATACCAGCACTTCATCTCATCTGCCTATAGCTTTCTTTTTTTTTCCCCTTAAAGCTTCAGTTTATATAAAGGGCATTGTGACAAATTACAACATTCTGATATGTAGAATAGGAACTGTTGTAAAATTTCCAAGAGTTGCAAAGAGCTTAAATTGCGCAACTCATGACTTTAGCAAGTACCATGCAGTTTGAACCTTGGGGGCAGTACTTTACAACTGTTTCTCTTAGTAACAAGTTATTAGCCTATTATGTGTTAAAACTGCGTAGGAAATAAAAGTTAAGATGCTCTTGCCAAGTGATGGTTATTTCATGGGTAGTCAGCCTAGAGATAATGTTAAGCTGATACGGTGCCAAGCAGAAATTTGGCCCTGTGTTCAGTTCCTCTTAATGTGCCAGGTTTCTTATATGAGTGCGTGGGAGAAATGCAGATTCACTGTTTCTCTTTTAACCACAATTACTTATACACCTGCTTGGGAATGTCATTGCATTTAATTCCAGGTCAGGTATTTTATTATACTTTGACCAAATCATTATAGAACTGGCAATCTTAATGGAATTTACTGTTTGAGGGCTATCCAATAGTGAGTTACAATGGTAAACATGATGAATAGGATACTGGATTATGCAGTTGAACAGTGAGTTACTCCTCTTTTTTGCTTTCAGCAGTCCACCTGTTACCCACCGTGTTTTTCCCTACTTATTGTTCACTATGTTAAGCACCATATGAGGTTCCTCATGCTCCTTTAAAGAAGTTGTCTGAAACAGAAACATACATATTTTAAGTAAAATCGATTCTCATTATGGATCTAATTTGAATTTACTACAGTCTCCTTCACTCAGATCATCATCATCATCATTCTTTTTACACCATTAGGTTTATACAGAAGTTGTTAAATGGTATTCTGTCCTGGGGTTATTCCTGGATTTATAAATGTATATGTAATATTACTGCTTCATCCATTTTTGTGCTACATTGTGAATGTTGAGGCCATCTCTATCTCTGGAATCACAAAATAAATGTTGTTTAGCTACCTTATAAGTGGGCATAACTAGCCAAATATGTCCATCTCTTCCTCTGTATTACTTATAATGTAGGTAGTTGCACTTGTTCTTAGACTTCTTCATTATTTTAAATCTATTCAGGTTGCATTGAACTGACTCGCTCTTTTTCCACCTTTGCTCCATATAAGAGGACACATAAAACATAACTTCTAGATATCTTTATTTTGGTGTTCAAGTTAATCAGGTGGAACTGCTTAACTGTACTGATTTTTGGAAATGCAGCAGTTGCCCTAACTATTCTGGACTTTACTGCTGATTGATGTATGAGTAAATCTAACATCTGTTTAGAAGGTGAAGCCTTGAAAACTCTGAAAATGAACAGTAGGCATACTTTCATAACCCCTATCATTAATTTATTAGGAGTCAGCTTTCCTTGGCAGAGTATACAGGACAGTCTATCTTTCCTCAGCAAAATGCATATATTTGACAAAATGCTTTTTTAGAAAAAGAAATCAGATTCAGCCAGGTGAGCTAGGTCTGTCAATAAGCATTCCTGTTTGAACCTAAATAGGACCTGTCTGTAACAAATATTGTTATCCATCTTCACACTAGGAATTGTTAGTTGCAGCAAGTGGCCCTTGGTCTAAAAGGGGGAACTTGCCCCATCCCCCTGCTGTAATATTCAGATTGTCACTGTTAATGAACTAACTGTGGTTGTACCTGCATTTTCTGACTATCTGTGTCATGAGTTCCAAGCTTTGTGCTGCTGGATACAAGGCAAGGCATTGGGGAAGAACATTTCACTGGAGTGCATTCCCGTCACATGACTGTAACTTGTGATTCCATAATGCATGAAGTCACTGCTGCTCTTAGCAGCACCAGATCACTTTTTTGTATTTGCTTACAGTAGGAATACCATAGGGGGAGTGGTATTTGTCTTCCTTTGCAGTGGAGGCACGGGGGGTGGGGAGCATATTCCTGTTCCGTGGGCTTCTTCAGTATATTTTACAAACTACTTCCTGTCCCTGCAATAGCACAATGTGGACAGTTCCCTCATGCCCCTGTCTTACCTGTAGCAAGTTTGGGTGTTTATACCTGGTAGTTGTGTGAGAAGGTTGTTCATACAGCTTTAAGAATAGGTTAGACGAACCCTAGTTTAGACAGGATGATTGTGCCTTGAGCAGGAGATTGGACTAGATGACCTCCTGCGGTCCCTTCCATCCCCATTTCTCTATGATGCTGATTCACAGGCATTAGAGGCCAATGAAACATGGTCCATGCACTCACTTTTCTTTCACCAGTATGCACACAAATAGAAAGGAGACTAGAAGATGCTGAGTGTTGTCAGAGACCTGAGGACAGCTGCTGTGGACAAGTATTTCCTGTGGACAGCTGCTGACAAACAATTCCTACTTCTGTGTTCAGCAGTGTTTTGGGTTTTTTGGGTTTTTTTTTTTAACTTTTATGGTCTCTTCTGATCTTCATGCTTTCAGACTTGGTAAACCAGCGATGTAACTGTCTGGCATCTGAAAAATAGCATCTTCCCAATTGATGGCCTAGTTACTGTTATTTTAACTCCCTTGAAGTTGTTTACCCCAGGTTTCACTACTGTTGCTATTTCCTCTCTGTTTCTCCCATAATGGCTTCCTTCGGTTTTACTTGGATAATATCAGGTAGGTAAAGTGATGTACATGTGATATTCCTAAAAATGTAATAAGCATCTCTTTCATTTGCCATGCCTCTCTCTACTAGACTTTTAGTCAGGAGGCCAAAAATTTGTAGCTTGACAGTCTACCTTTCTAGAAAGCTTAAAGGGGAAAGAGCAGCATTCTGACCTACATGGAAGGCAATAATGATTTCCTTCTTTCATAGATTTCCCCTAGACTATTTTTAATACAAAGATCTTCACAAGTATGCCACTTTCTGTAAACTAAAAGCATAACCTGTTAATAATGATGACTGGCTTTTTAAGTGCTTGCTTATACTGTTATAACTTTCTTACTGTAATCTTCTACCATACCGGATTGTTTCCTTACCTTCCTCTAATTTTTTGCAAAACTTAGGAAAATGTCAAATTATTTTGGCCTGTTTTTGTCAATTAAGTTGGATCATCATATAGTAGATAGTTCAGTATCCTTTTCTCAACCTAACTAAAACTGTCCCAAAGGGTATATTTAACAGGGTTGTTAACCAGAGTGGTAATTTTTGCTTCACAAGGGGCCAAAATGTTCACCTTTTTATCTTTGTTTCTAAATGTGGATGCCCATAATTCCATATGTTGCTTATATTTTTTCTTATTTTGGTTGCATTATCAAGTCTCTATAGTACAAAAATATCATGCTTATTTGGAATGGAAGCACTTTTACACATTAGCTGCATATATAATTTGCTTGGACCATTGATCCTATGGCATGTGTTGTAATTTAACTGTAGCACTTACTGATTCTTTGAAGTATGTGCTTTATCTTATGATCAACAATGATGAGATGTTTCTTGTATTTATGTATTTATTCTTGAGACTAAATTCAGATGCAGGTTGAAAATCTTTTGCTATTGTGTTCTCATTAGCATTAGTACAAAGGCAGAGTTTGGGGGTAAAGGTGCAGTAGGGAAAAGATCAGAGATTTGACATCTGATGTAATGATCTCCATTTACTGTTGCCCCAGAGCTATGCTGTTCAGAAACATTTTTCACATCCCCAGTAGAGGACTGTACAGCAGTCATTTGAATTGTGAATACTTTTAAGAGGTCTACTAAATAATTCATTTCAATTGGCCTATTTACTGGCAAAGTCTCTCTCGTCCATCCATTGTATGGGGGGAAAACTGTTATCATTACAGATGGTTGTGCCATATGTCCAGGGAGTCAACTGAAAGTGGTTTGATTTTTATTGGAAATGAAATAGAATGGAACATCTGCACTATTCATAAGGTCACTTATAGTTCGGTCTCAGTAGAATCTCTTTTCAGAAAGAGTACAAATCTGCTGAGATCTTTAACACAAGCAAGTGGAAGTTAGTGGCTGATGAGTAGGGGACTGTACACAAAGAGAAAGATTTATTGCTTTTTGTTCTGTGTTTTGCCAGAAATATAGATGCCATTTTTTTCCCACAGAGATGTGTTCTCTTGATATCAAGACCATTTGCATTTAAAGCAAAAGAAAGAATTCTATTTCAGCAGAGGACCAAAGTCAATACACTTTTAATAGAATCTTGAAAAACTAAGCTGGAATATTCTGACTAAAAAGACTTCCTGCAGAAAGGATCATTAAATCAGGCAACAGCTCAGGATTAATGAGTTATGTCTAGTATTCAGTCAAACTTTAAACACTTTCATCATTGTCTAATCTCTCAGCAGGTTATAAATCCTCAAAATTTGAGAGTTACAATTCATGCCAAATCAATCCAATCTCAATTATATCCTGATAGTCCTTTCCAGTTACGTATGACATCTTTTGAAGTGCTGCTTCAATCTTCTCTGTTAGTAAAAGACACTTATTTCTAAGCCATTTTATTCCTTGTCAACAGTACGAGACTGTGGTGCGTACAAAAATATTTCTGTTATATGCCATTATGCTGTTTATTTTCATGTGTTGGATGTAAGCATTCCTTTCTACTTCCTTTCCACTTGCACAAGTTTGATAAAGTGAGCTTAAGCTTTTAAAAACAGAAATTATTAGTTATTAAAAAAAAAAAGGAAAGAAAAAACCCATCTCTTTCTTTATCTGTGAGCTTTGCTTATTTCCTGGCATATTATTTACTTCCTCTTAGTTGCGAAAACACCATTTACTGCAATAAGTCATTATTTTCAAGTTTGGGCACCAAGAAATAGGCACACCATTCATGACAAAGAGACCAGACTTTCAGGGGTACTTTGTCCTCACCAATTCTCCAAACTAAATCAATAGGAACTATTGAATATTCAACACTTCAAGAAATAGGAAGCACCTGTATACACCATGGGATTTAATTCTCATTAAATTAAATAGGTTTATAAAATTTAAACTTGTTTATTTTGGAGCATCACATATGTGTATATGTGCACTAGGTTTTCAAACATATTAAGCCTTGGAACGTCGCATCTGTGTTTACACACACTGGGCACTTCCACACATGCAGACATGTGTGCTTGCAGCAGCTCAAATAGAAGTGGCATAAATTTGAGCAGGGGCTTTTTGCCTCAGCACACGTGCCCAGACATGCACTTCGGTGTGGGGAAAATTGTGCCACTTGGGGTAAAATAACCTGGCCAAGCTCCTCCCAGATCTGCAGCCAGGGGGAGCTAGAGTTCAGAGCCAGCACCTGTGCTGGCCCCAGCAGTGTAAAAAGCTGCCCTAGCAAGTAGCTTAGGGCTACTTGCTCTCAGGAGCTTCTGGGGCCCGGCTAATTGGTATCTGGGGACACTACCCTTTGTGCCAGATGGACTGCTGAAGCAGCCCTGAGAGTTCCCAGTACCCTCTACCCATTGCAGCAGTCTGGCAGTGGGGGCTGCTGCCTGACTGTGACCTGCTGCCACCTGTGACAGCATGTGGTGCCAAGGCTCCATGCCTACCAGACCTGGATGGAGACTATATAGCCAGTAAAGGCATCTACACCTCTGGGCCAGCTGCCAGTGGGCTGTGGCTGCACAGTTGGCCTTTGTGCGGCACTGCTGCCATGTGTGCGACCGCCTGGCCATCTGGGCAGCTATTACCTGGAAGATGTTCTTAGTGTGGTAGCCTGCTTTGAACTGTCAAAGCATGTCCTCCTGGCCCC